CAGGGTCCCAAACCCTGACCCTCAGCCACTGCCACGTTCTGCCTTCTGGACCCACCGGCCGTCCTGCCGCCCAGTGCTCGGCAGACCCCTGTGCTGGGAGACAGGGCGCTTTTTCCAAAATCACACCACTTTGGGATTTCCTGCATAAACAGTTGTGAAGATCCTATACTTAAAAGGATTTTCATCATGTTAAGATTAGGACTTAGTCTTTGGTTAAATGCTTACAGACCTTGTAACACCAGGATGAGTAATTAACAGTACACATGAAACACCCCAAATCCCACTACCCCGGTGTGCTGGTGGTTTGCCCTGTGCACGCGCCCTTTTATGAGCGAGCACATAGGCCTTCCTAGGCTGTATCTCATTTGCATTATGTTGCATGCCTAGCTCCCTATCGCAAGGTGTTCCTAATTTTCACTCGTGCCCATCTGGTTTCTGTAATGTGATGTTCCATTTGGTTGTTCCCATTTTTCGTTGCTGTTGTAGTTGTCAAGAGTTCTTATAAAAAAAACAGAGTCAGCTTGTGGTAATTTTGTTTCTGCTTCTGTTTCTCCCTTCATATGAATTATGCTCATGATAATTTCCTAGACATTTTTTTTTTGTTTCATTTCTTAGCACCCCCCACAGTAGACCACCAAGTATCCTAGGAAACCCTCAGGGTGCTCTGCTGATGTGACCATCCTCTGCTCCTCCGTCCCTTGAGGCCCAGGCAGGGTCCTCAGTGTGCAAACAGCGTGGGGAATGGAGGCCACAACCTGGCTCCTCAGGGACCAGTAGGAAGAATCACACTCTGGATGGCATGACTGCGTTCAGCACGCCTTCTCTGCAGAACAGGTGAATGAGCGCCTGGACGGGGGCCCAACCTCCTCTCTCACATACTGGGTACTTAAATGCTATCTATTAAAGAAACACATTCACTCTTGTATGGATTTTAGCAATATCTTCTAGCAGAAAAGACAAGGGACAGATTTTTACACGTGTTTATCACGTGCCAGGGACGAAGCCAGGTGCTCTCAATATCAACCTCCTATAATCCCCACAACAGCCCTACAGGGTAGGTATCCATGTTCCCATTTTACAGATGAGAAGCTGAAGCTCTCAGAGAGACACCAGCCAAAGATCACTCGGCCACTGCAGAGCTGGGATCCAAACCATGTCTGCCCAGCTCCCCAAACCTGCTTTCTTTCCATCACCTGAGCCCACGTGTGAGCACAAAACCAAGGCTTCCTCTTCCCTCCTCCCTCCCAGATGCCAGATTTGCAAGGAAAAGAGGCAGAGATGTCCCCAAAGTCCCACTGGGCAGGAGGCCTGCAGAGAGAAACTGGAGCAGACGCGCTGGCTTGCAGACACCAGAGGGCGCTATGGGCCCAGGAAAGGGACACAACTGAGCAGCTCTGTGCTTCCTCCTTGGCGGCATTGGTCCCCAGAGCAGAAGGACCCTCAGGATGCACCAAGGACCCTCAGGATGCTCACTGGAAACTCACATTTTGGACTTGTTTCTGTTGTTCCTAAATCTTTTTCTACCAGTGGAGCTCACGATCCGGCTAATGCTACAGACTTCACGTCCATGGCTCAGTGCCCATCGGAAGGAACCCTCATGCCAGTGTCTCACTGTGCTGGTCAATCTCTGTAGGGGAGAGCTGAGGGCGGAGGGTACAGAGGTCGTCACCCCTCCCTGCTCCCTATGACTCCACTGGAAATGGTCCCGACCAGCCCAGGGCTGGGGCTATACACCCTCATCACCGCCACCAAGACAGCTGCAAAGTGACTGGAAATTACGGGTGTAACAGAAACAGCATCACCAGCTCGAGCGCTCCCTGTGCCAGGCACTGCGTCAAACCCTTCACGTACCTTCTCTCCTTTAGTCCCACCCAGTTCTATGTGGTAGAACCAGGATACTTCCCTTTTCCCCTTTTACAGAAAAGGAAACTGATGCTCAGAGTCGCCCCAGGACAGACATGCCGTTCGCACGAGGCAGAGCCGGATTCTGCAGTCGGCGACCCCTCCTGGGTCCAGCTGGCCCTCAGTCTTGGATGGCGGAGGTCAGACATCCACTCATCAATCCGCTCGTTTGGCAAGCGCGTACTTAACGTCAGCTGCCTCCCAGATGCTTGGGAGGTTCATCCTCCCTTCCTCTCCTTTTATGGTCCCAATGCCTGGGCTGTGGGTAGCATCCCCTAAAAGGCTGTCCCCCTTACTTTAGCCTGATTTCATATATATATTAAAACACTGGGGGAGATTGGCCCCAAGGACCCCACAGTGAATATGGGAACCAGAGAGGAGGCTAGCTTCCAAGACAAGGGGCAGAAGCAGCCCAGGAACATGGCGCCACACAATGGTCTTGGGCATCTGATGGGGGAGCCGAGGAGAGTCAGGAGGCCAAGCGCTCCAGCAGCTGCTCAGCTGTGTGACCTGGGGCCAGTCACCTACCTTCTTTGAGAGCCGGTTTCCTCAGCCGCTGGGGAAGGGGAGCCTCAATCAGCCCCGCAGCCTCCCTTCACTTAAGTAATAACCAGAGTTTGTGTTTCCCATCATCCGACTAACTTGTGATCTTGGGCTGGTCACTTGACCTCTAAGCTTTGCTCTCCCCATCTGTTAAATGGGCATAAGTTGCACCCTCTCTAAAGCGCTGGCTTCATCATGAGACATAAGGTATGGGGCGCATCGGCCCTCAAGAAGGGCAACACACATCATCTCAGTGGTTAATTACACACCAGAAATACAAGACACACAACCACAATCAGAGAAATATGATTCCTGGGCCCACTGGGCTCCAGTCCATCCAATCCCCTTGCCCAAGGCAACTGCTCTGGAGAGAATATTCCAGTGGAGAAGCCAGTTTTTTGGGCCCTGTCCAAGTGCATTAGTCACCGTGGCCACCTCTTTCCTGTGGACTCTTATCGGTCTCTTTGACCCACACTGGCCTCACCTCATCCTCAAGGGGTAACGGGAAGCAGAAGACTCTAAGTTACAGGAGAGAGCCCCAGGGGATCAGGCTGGGGTGGGCTGATCACCAAATCCCAGAGCTGCCGCCTGTGAGGGCCTTTATGCATCATCTCATCCCACCCCCTCGTTTTTGCAGATGAGGAAGCAGAGGCCCAGAGAGGGAGGTGACTCACCCCAAATCACACAGCTAATATGTGGCAGAATCTAGACTCAGACTTTGCTAAAAATGTTCAACTGCAAGAGAAAGTCAAGCAAGGACAGTGCTGGAAGTGCTAGAGTCTGTTCTGCTGCCCATCTGTCCTGCCGCATCGAGGATGTGAGGAGGTCTCCCTGGCTGCCGCCGTGACCTGGCAGGTCCCGACTGTGGGCCTGCAGGCAGGGATCCGGGCCACTAGGGAGGGGCCTGCACCCTTCAGAGGACACGCTAGTTCACCCAGCAAGCATCACCCAGACCCAGCTCCCTGGATTCGAGGGCTCCAGCAGCCCCGTCTTTCAGGTCAGGAGACCCAGACTGGAAAGCTGATGGCAAAGTCACACTGTGCTGTGTGTCCGTCCCGCAGCTTCTCAGACTGCTCTGTATCCTTGTGTAGGAGTTACTGTGTGTGTGTGTGTGTGTGCACACCTGTGCTTCCTATGGGGATAAAAAAGAACTTCTCTGTGGAATAAATGAAGACACAGAGAAGTAGGGGAGAAAATAAATACCCTCCACATGGCCACCCTGTTTAACAAAGGGGCTCCACCTCCAGAATCAATCTCTTTCTGTCTCTCGCTCGCACACACACACACACACACACACACACACACACACAAACCGGGGTCATACCGTATATTTTCCCATGTGCTTTAAAAATTAACAAACTATTATTTTCATATCCTAGGTCATTCATTATTTGTCGAAATGTGGTTTGGCACTCCCGAGTGCCGCTGCGTCATTTAGCTGTACGATAACGCAGTTCGCCCTCTGCCTGCTCCACAGCACATGGTTGTTTCCAGTCTCACTTATGAATGACATGGAGTGAAACATGGGGTAGGCACTCTGTGCATCCTTGATTTAGCTCCACAGAGTACATCTCTGGAGTGAAAGCACGCAATGAGAGGGGACCTACAGGGAGAGAACGGGCTGGCCACGTGAAACTGTTTCCACGGTAATGGAACAGAAAGGCACCTGCACGTACAGCCCTGCACGAGGGGTGGAGAAAAATCCTCCAGGGTCCATCTGCACTGCCTTCTGAGCCTGTGCTCTGGCGAGATGTTAGTTAGCGCAGATGCATGCCCGAGAGTCCTGTGGCTGTCTCTCCTGGGACACAGAAAGTACATTTTTAATAGCTGGTGGGAGTGAAAAACAGCATTTTAGCGACACTCTGATTTTTATTTCTCCTCACAGGCTAACAACGCAAGAAAGCTTTCCTCCTCAGAAGGAACACCTATGTCCTAGGATCTGTTGGGCTTGTCCTGCTTATGATGAAGGTAAAAGAAGGTACAACATTCGTATTTGGGGGAGAGCACGTACGGGCCTGCCTGCCTTGTCTGGCTGCTCACCATCTCCCCTTGAAACTTCTGCAAGTCTTCTGGCAGTTCCCCAAATTCCTCTGGTCTCTCCCCTCACACCCACCTGGCACATCACACTCAAACATTCCCAGCATGTCTGACCACGCACAGACCCTTCGATGCCTTCCCAGACTGCAGACGAGGCCTGGACATGCTCGGATACCTACTGCCCTGCACGCTGGTCCTCAGACCCTTCTGCAGCTCTGCATCCTGCTCCCTATGAGCCCCAGTGAGTACCCTCTGCTCCAAGCACCGTCAATCACCCATGGCCCAAACAAACACTCCCGCTGAGCTGTGCTCACTCATGCTCATCCCTGCCGGGCAGCCCTGCCCACTGCACCGGCTTCAACTGCCCAAGTCAGGGGAGCACCTGCACTGAGCCTCTTTGCTCTGCCCAGGAGACCTCTTCTCTCCACTCAGATGCTTCCAGACAGCACCCCCCACCCCATCCTGCTCCCTGGCCAGCTACACAGCCCCCGGAGGAGTGATAAAAGGGAAATGCTTACCTTTTCACCCTTCTCTCCTTGGACAAAAGGCCCTCTGCCCTAGAAAAGGAAAGGAGGAGGCACAGGTTTACGACAGAACGTCTCCATGCATGACATCCCACATGACAGCAGCGCCCTGGGGTCTGCAAAGGTCGGAAGCTTTCTCATCAGCTCTGCGAACGAGCTTCCAAACGAGATGATAACCCTTCCTTGTTGAGCGTTCATTCTCGTGGGTAGTACCCCATTTAATTTTTCCAACAATTCAATATTACTATACTTGTAACTTTTCCCTTGTGAGCTTTACTAAGATATCATCCACCTACTGTATCATTCACCTAAAATATTCAATGTAATAGTTTTTAGTATATTTATAGAGTTTTGCAGCAACCACCGTAATCAACTTCAGGATGTTTTCATCAGCTGAGCAAGAACTCTGCACCTGTTAGTGGTCACACCCCATGCCCCCCACCTCCTGCCCTAGGCAAACACTAATCTATTTTGTCTCTGTAGATCTGCCTCCTCTAGACATTTCATATACACAGAATCATACGACATGTGGGCTCTCACTGCTGGCTTTGCACCCAGTGATTTCTCAGCAAAGTGTTTTCAAGGTTCATCCATGTTGTGACATGTACCAATATTCCATCCTACCGCAGAACCACATGCCACTGCATGAATGTAACACACATCCCGTTTATCCACTCACCACGTGATGAGCACTCAGGTTGTTTCCACTTTTTGGTTATTATGAATAATGCTGCTCTGAACATTTCCCCACAGGTTTTGTATGAGCATATGTCTTCATTTATTTTGGATATGTATCTAAGAAGAGGATTGCTGAGTCACACGGTAATTCTGTTTAGCCTTTTAAGGATAAGGACTGTTCTCCAAAGCAGTAGCACCATTCTGTACCAGCGATGTCTGAGAGTCCCAGTTTCTCCACCTTCCTGGCTACTCTATCCATCACTAGTGAGGCGCTAGGGTCTCTAATCATCATCACTGCCTTACCTATTTCTCTCTTCAATTCTGTCACTTTTTGCTTCACGTATTTTGGACTCTTATGAGGTGCACAGATGTTTATAACTGTTCTTGATTTCTGAAAGACTGACACTTTGATCGTTCTAAGACACCCCTCTTCATTTCCGCTAACGTCGGGTTTTAGAGTCTATTTTATCTGATATTGGCACAGTCACTCCCAATTTTTCGGTTTTCTATTTTCAGAATATCTATTTCCCATCCTTTTACTTTCAACCTATTTGCATCTTTGAATCCAAAGTATGTCTCCTGAAGACAGGACAGAGTTGGGTCTTGTTTTTATGTCCAGCCTGAAAATACAGCATGATTACTGATAGAGTTGGTTTCACGTGTGCCATCTAAACGTTCATCTCTGCCTCCTGTCTTGTTGCTCCTTTATTCCTCCTTTACGGCTTTTGTTTATTTGTTTGTTTGTTTTTGCACTAAGTATTTTCTAGTGCTATGTTTTAATCTCTTTATGGCACTTCTACCGTATATTTTTGAACTATTTCGGTAGAGGTCGCTCTTGGGTTTCCCATACACAACTCAGCTTCTCGTGACCTACTTCCAATTCATACTTCCTCCGGTGAGATTTATAGACACACCCCTCCTTACCTGGTTCCAGTCCCTCTTCCCCCAATCTTGTGCCATTACTACAGCTGCTTGTTTCATGCCCGATTGCACACTATCATGATGATGCTTTTGAGCTTGTCATCCTGCTATATACTCAGGTCTCCGTCACCCCCGACAGTCAGTCAGCGAAGGATCTTACTGGCCTTTCTTGGTCCACGCTGACTCCTTTTTCTCTCTTTCTGCTTTCAAAAGTTTCTTTGTCTTTTGGCGTCGGGGCTACAATCTTTCTGAGAACGGCTCTCTTTGTGTGATCTTGATTAGAGTTCACTGAGCTTCCTGAATGTGTAGATTACTGCTTTTCACCAAATTTGGGATTTTTGTTTTCACCATTATTTCTTTGAATACACTTTCTGCTCCTTTCCTCTCTCCTCCTGGCAGCCCCATTAGGTGCATTCTGGTGCATTCTGCTAACTCTCCGACACTCTGTTCATTTTCCGGCCTTACTCTTTGTCTCTAGTTTTCAGATTACAGAATCACTATTGATCTGGTGGCTGGAACGCTGGCTCTTTCTTTCAGAAGGCTGGTTCCTACCTACCATTGAGTCTCTCCACTGATTCTCATTTTCCTTTCAGTTATAATTTTAAGCTCTAAAATTTCCATTGGGGTCTTTTTTTTTTAGAAACTTCTCTCTCTTTACTGATACTCTGTATTTGCTGACATGCTGTCATAATATCTGCCTTTCCTCCTTTAAGAATGATACCCCTTTGTCCTTTGATTGTCACTCTGATGGCTACTTTGCAGGTTGTGTTTGCTTCTCCAATCCCTGTGCCCCATCACGGGAGACCCCACTCCCTGCTGCTTTTCCTGGGGGTCACAGGGATATCCTGGAGAACCACACAGAGTTCAGTCTGAATCTGGGCAGATAGGAGCCAGCCAGAAAGGGGAGGGGAGGGGGAAATAAGGCATGGAAAGACAGTATAATTCTTCCTGGTGGAGGAAAGAGCATGTGCAGCAGCCAGTGAGAAGTGGCCAGTGTGGAGACTCCGAGCTGCCAATCGGGGCACCCAGAATCCAGGGGTAGGAGCGGGGCTGGTGCAGGACAGGGCTAGAGTGGCAGTAGGGGCCACCTCTGGCGGACCTCCCGTGCCCAAGGGAGGAGCTTGGGCTCCATTCCAAGGGCAGTGTGAGGCTCAGTGTCTGGCTCCCACTAGGTGTTTGGTGCATTCTAGCTGACATGCACGCCTTGGGGAAGCCCGGGGTCTCCCACGCTGGCCCTATACTCACCATGTCACCTTTTTCTCCCTTGGGTCCAGGAGCTCCAACCAGCCCAGTGGCTCCCATGTCTCCCTGCAGGGTGCAAACCAGAGAGGAGCACTGGGTCAGGTCCCCCAACGGGGCTCCCCCACTCAGACTGCCCACTGCCCACTTGGCCCTCGACGCCCTGGCAGCGGCTGATTTTGTCCCTGCCAACTTCGCAATGAGGCCATGCTTCCCACCCCCGGAGAAGGAGGAAGCATCTAAATAATTTCCCCAACCTCTTAATTCCACAACTAAGGACATCCTAAGTAAGTGACTGGGAGAATGCGTCATGTGTTTGTGCCCGGGAATGGGCCAGCCCCAGAAGGGGTGTGAGAAGCCCCAGGGTTCAAACCCCCGCTCTGCTGCTTGCTGTGAGAGCGTCATTACTCTTTGGGCCTTGGGCTCTTCCTCTGTGAAATGGGCATGCTGTCCTGAGCACACATAAGACTGAAAGCATGAAGGTGCTTTGAAGGCTGCCAGAGTTCAACCAGGGTCCCCTGGATTACGCCATTTGTATGCCCTGGGCCCTCCCAACTGTCCATGAAGACAGGGAGGGCAGGCAGAGGAGAAAACAGTGTTTGCAAGGGAAGAAAATTCACCAAGGGTCGAGTGCGGGACTGGAGCAGTCTCCTACCATGCCATGAGCCAATCCAAAACAGGCTTGGGTGCCCAACACGGGAGCCCTCAATTTTGTCTGTTTTTCTCTTCTCTTGTTATGCATTTTCATCTGGGTCTACTCCCACCTTGCATACTCTCAGGACAAACAGCTAGTTGGCGTTTGCTGCCCGCCTTGGTCTGTCATGCCCTTCCCCTGCCTTCTTTATCCTAAGCAGCTCCCATGCATCCTGCTAGACCCCGGGGCCCCTCCACCCTGGCTCTCCCCGCAGGGGATCCCACTCTTTTCTGTCACTCTTCTCTTGCCACCAGCCTGTGAGCACTGGGGACAGGGCTCTCTCATTCACTGTAACGTCCCTGCACTAGAATGGGCCCTGGCACCTGGAGTCACCACACCATGACTGTTGACCAGACCTGAGCTGTATCTGGGTAAATGGGGCCACTGGGAGCCACAGCTGTTTCCCTGGAGTCTTAATCTCGGGCTGGGACAATCTGACCTGTGGGGCCGAAGGGCAAGGACTGCAAATCATCTCCGAGGCAGCCAGGCTGGTGTCCAGGTGGCTGAGTCTAAGTCCCTCCCTAGCATTCCCTCCCCCTGCCTTGTCCTCCCTGCGAAGGTCACCTCTCAACCCTGGATCTGTCCAATCACAGCATGACACGGTCATCCAGTAACCAACCACTGCCTCAGACAAATGTTCTCCACTCAACACTTCCACAAACCCCCGGACACCTCTGCTCTCTTCTTCCCTCTGACAGCCGAGAAGCTGAGGTTACTGCCCAGGGGGTGCTCAGTGAGGCAGGAACCCCTGTGCTCCTTCTCAAAAGGACCACCTGGCACTCTGGACCACCCCGAGCTGCTCTCCTTTGGCACCAGGGGAGGGGATCCCATCAGGGGTATGTGTGTGTGTGTCCAGGCTCCCCAGCCCAGCAGAGTGGGGGCAGAGAGGAGAAGGGGGAGAAGGGAGAGAGGGAGAGAGAGAAGGGAAAGGTATCACCTCAGGGTGTTTCTACCACCACACTCAGCCCCTCTTTCAAACACCAGACCAGGTAATGGCCTCTGGATCATGCTGACATCTTCCACCCGCCCGTGTGACCACGGGCAATTCTCATCTCTCTGGGTCTCAGCTTTCTGAGACCAAAGTTAAGGATGTGAGAAGACAGCTCTGTCCAGCTCTGTAAATGCTAATAACCTAAGGAGGGATGGAGACAGAGAGGTGGCTGCATGACTGAGGAGCGGGGCCCCTCGAGGAGGCACCTGGCTTTGAGCAACGAGTGAGTTCAGAAAATTTGTGCCGAAAGAATTTCATACAACTTAAAGAAACCTTACGTGCATTCTAAACAGACTCTTACAAGCCCAAGCCCCAAAGTTTCTGGAATATAGAGGACTAAAAGGATTGACACAGAATTAGCTAACCATGGTGAGGTTAACCCATTGGAGCAAATGGGATGGGAGCCAGGACTTTCTCACCCAACCCCTTCTAGCTCAGGTTTTCAGAAACAGAGGTTCCGGACTTCACACCACTGGCTCAGAAGCAAACACCACAGACTAGTCATCTAGCACGACGCTTCGCCTCCACGTGGGGAGCACAGCAAAGGCGAACCTGGGCCCCAGAGCACCCTGAGCCACGCCTGCACTGACCTTTGGGCCGGGGAGTCCCACGGGGCCATCAGAGCCCTTTTCGCCCTAAAGGAAGAAGGACAAAAGAAACAAGAAGTAAGACTCTAGTTAATTCCCCCACGCCCTCTGCCTTCAGCAGTCGGTTACCCCTCCACAGGCCCCTAAGCCAGTCTCTGAATGAGCCACGTATGGCCAGCAAGCGGGACAAGGTTTCCTGGAGCCAAGAACCACTCTTCTTGAACTCCATGGGACACTTTGGTGTCACCTCTATGTGGCTGTTGGTGGAATAAAGACAGGGACAAACAAGATGGTACCCCGTGGGCTACTTCTTCCCTGACATTGCCACCCCTGGAGGTCAAACTATCACGTGGCCCGTTAAAGGTTCCCATAGTTATTAGTCACTAGACACCAAAGCAACGCATGTCTGTAACCTACCTCTAACCATCGTTCACCTGCTAACAGACAAGTTGCTTGTGTAAAAGATCCAGTTTCCAGATTGAAAATTCTGGTCTGTTAAGTTGTGGGTCCATGTAGATACTGCCACACTCAAAACCAATGTGACACGGTTCATACACTCGTCCACGTGCAAATCTCACCACATTAGTGAAAAGGAAGCGATACCATATCCATTTATGTGTGCGTACCACTCATCACTAGAAACAGCCCAGCTGCGGTTGTGTACTCAGCCAGTTCAGGAACGAGTTTGTTTTTTTAACGCATTCATAGATGTCATTTACACACGCAAATGGAGGTAAATGATGTTTTGTGTATTTGACCCCACATAGTGCCCATCGGAATGTCTGGTACACAGTTCACACGAACCATGTTTGGGTCTAGAGATGGAAACATGGACCCAAGAGGCACGTTGACCTAGGAGAATAATGGAAGTTTTCTGTAAACTGAATCCAAGATTTAAACCACTGGAAGCCAAGTCTGCCTGTGGCCTCCTCCCAGGAGAGGACACTCAGATCTCCTGCGCCCCCATGTGCCACATCGTCTATGCAATTGAAGATGGCGAGACAGAGGCCAGCCCTATTTAATGAGGAGCTTATTGAACCTCTTTCGTGTGGGAGGCAGAAGAGGCCCCCTTCGCACCCACCTGTGCGAGCACCCTGGGCTAGGCGCACCTCTGCTCTCCTGGGTGCGGTAGCCAGACCGCACACTGAAGCATCTCTGAAGATCATGTGCTATGTGTCTTAAAACCTCAGTGCTCAGCACACAGTGGGTGCTTACTGTTTACTGTCAGATAGAAGGGGTGGTTGGGGAATAAAGGAATGGGTTATTGGGTGATGCCCCCCAGAGTTTGAGGCTGAGAATCTGTAAGGTGATTGATCATCTTGAAGAGCGAGCCCTTGTCCTGCCCGCAAGAGAGGGTGTGTTCCTTTATCTGTCCCTACCAGCTGTCCTGCCACCATCCGCCCATCATCCTTCACACCCTGATCCACGTATCCATCAGTTCAACCACTATTTAATAACGTTGGGCTAGACACGATCAGTGGCTAAAAATACAGATGTGTCAAGATCCAATCTCTGTATCTGGAACTTACCTTATGGAAGTAAAAACAGGTAGACATTTTTAGTTCAATGTGATCACTGTTATGGTAGATGGCAGCCCAGGGAGAGGAATGGGTCATGGGGTCTTAGAAATAGCAGGTACATGGCCACATGGGGAATGAGGGAGGGAGGACTGGAGGAAGGGAGGGGGGAAATCACATAGACAACAAGGTGCTCAGGAAAACATTCCTTGGAGACATCTTGAGAGAAGAGCAGGCATGAGCCAGATAAATGAGGGGGTCCAAGCAGATGCTGTATATGCAAATACCCAAAGACAAGAAAGGTTGTGACCCCTCCAAGAAACCAGTAGTTCTTGGTGTCCTGGAAATTGGGGGAGCAACATGGAGAGAGATGGTGCTAGAAAGACAACTGGGGACCCTCTGTGACCACATAGGGTGGTGTGGTGGGGATGGGAGGGGAGCACCTGGGGGTCTTTGAGTGGGAAGATACATGGGAACAGGAGGTAGATACTCCTGAGTCTAGACTTCCCTCCCAGGGGTCCTTCCCCCATGCCAGGGGCCACAGGAGCCTTGGCGGGACATGCCCAGGGCACAGCTTGGCTCAGGGAAAATTCTGGCCGGGGCAGAACTGGCTTTGGCCATCACCCCAGCAGTCTGTCCACACAGGGGCTAGTACCCAAACCTCACAACAAGTTAGCCTTCTCCTTTGGGGTTCTTATTCAAAACCCAGGGACAGGGGAGGGAAAGAGGTCCAGCCCTGGGTGCTCACCCTGGCTCCCTACTTGACGTGTCTCATTCTAACCCAGCGGGCACTGGGCCAAGGTACCTCCCCTTCACCCCTGCCCAGAGAAAACCTCAGCTCACAGCCAGGCTGAGCCGGCTCCTTTCAGCAAGTTGGGCCAGCATTTGGCAGCCTCACCTGACTGAGAGTTCCTGGGGGCTCCCTGTCTCCCCAGGTCTGGTTCTCTGGGTAGAAAGGAAGGAGGGAAGGGGAAGAAGAACAAGGTGTGGCGGGGGGAGGGAGCCTGCCAGCCAGGACATGTGCATTGGAAGTGTGTCCATTCCAGTGAACTCCACTGTGATTTCACATTCCTTCCTGTCTGCCCAGCCCCGTACAGAGCCACTGAACCCCTCCTGTATGCTGGCCCCGAGCCGGGAGGGCAGATACAGCAGGGGATATGACCGTAGGCTTCAGGGCAAGGCCCCGGGCTGTGGGCTCTGGCAGAACCCCCCAGGACCTTCCCCAGCACAGCTCTGCTTTTTATCATCCTTGTGTGTTTGGTTAACTTGTTCTGCTTAAACAGTAGAAGACTTCTTTCTTCTTACTTATCAAAAAGGCCACTGGTCTACAGGAAAACAGGACAGATGAAGGCCTCGGGCACTCAATGAGACACTAAATCTAGGCTAGTGGATGGTGCTGGTGGTGTTCGCAGAAACACTAGTTTGGACATTAGAAACTAGGTATACACAACTCTACTTGTATGTCATCTCCTCGGCGTCTTATTCGCAAACCAGGTCTGTTTTGATGAGTGGAGAGATAGCAGCAGGGGTCAGGAAAACCTCGGGGATACATTAACTCCAGGAAAACATTAATGGGTCTGAGGGCTCCCCTCCTCAGAGCTGGAACGTTAAGATACAAGAGGTCGAAGGAACAAGAAGGACTCCCTGTCCTGCAAGTCCCCCAGAGTCCAGGGCCATCCTGCCCTGGCCACCCTGGTGCATGATGAGAAATCCCCACCTCCTCTGCTCAGCTCGGGGGCTCCAGGCTGGGGTCTGAGGGTAGACTGCTGGGGGTACCTTTTCTCCAGCCGGGCATGAGCAGTTGATGGTCTTCAAAAACCCGATCTGTTCACTGCCAGAAGTGGGAGGCTGCTGGGGCAGGGGTGAAGTCTCCGTCAGCACGGTCACCTGGCACTGGAAGGAAATCCCAGTGAGTCAGAAGGTCAGAACCTGGCTTTTCACCCAGCACAGCTCCCCAGCAGGCAAGGGGACAAGGAACCCAAGAAGCCTGAGCTTGAGTGGAGGGGAGGTCGGGTCATGCCCGGCGGCAGGTCCTGGGCTCCTGAGGCCTTGGAGTCAGAAGGGCCTGGGCCAACCTGCTCTCAGCCACGTCGCTGGCTTCTCAGCGGCTGCAGGAACCACGAACCCCTCTGAGCCTCAGTGTTACCCTCTGCAGAATGGGGACAAGGATGGGGCCATTGTGATGCAGTGAGGAGGATTCGATGGGACAGCTCACTGTCTCACACCCAACAGGTGCTTGAAAATGCTTCCCTAACATCACCACTTCCCCGCCTCCCTTCCCTCTGTTGTCCAGGCCCTCATCTGACCTCTCTTTTGCTCAGTCCACAGTCAGGCCCATCTGACTCCAAACCCCCAGCGCTGGGGGTTTCCACCACCATGTCTTGGGCACAGGGCCACTGAGCACCGTGTGTGGACGTCACCCCTCTGCCCTGGGAAGCAGGCTCTGTCACTAAGACCACCTTCCAAGCAGCCCCGGGACTGGGGTTTATTAAAGAAGTTAGGGAGGGAGAGCCTTGAAAGGGGGCAGATGCAGAGAGGTCCAGGGTCAGGGGAAAAACTCTGGGTTTTCTCGCTCTTTCCAGTCCTGCCTGCAAGCCGCCTCCTCCCCTCTGCCAACCAACCCAGTGTGCCAGGCCTCCATCCAATGAGCATGGTCCGTCCCTCCCAGGGCCATGCTGCCAGCCTCGGCCTCTCCTCCCCAGAGCCGGGCCCCACTGCTCGGCCTGCAGACTGGTGGTGTCAAATAAGACCAGGACCACGGCAGCCCCCCAGGGAGACCTGCCTGGCCCCCAACCCACATCCTGGGGGCCCAGGAAACGGAGTCCTAGCCCCAGATGGTCACTGGACTCCTCTCAGACCACATTCTGAGGGTGGGCACCCTCTGACCCCTGAATGCCCATTCCTAGGACCTGGACACCCCCGTCCCTCTGGAGGCCAAGGACCCGTTTCCTCCCCACCTCTGCATGCAGGAGTTTGCTCACCGGGCCCAAGGGGATATCACAGCAAGTCTCCAATTCTGCGTGTCTGGAGTCACAATAAATCACAATCTGCTGCAGGTCAAACTGGAAGGGACATGAGGTCAGAGTGAGTCTGGAGGACTCGGCAGCCCGAAGCCTCCATGCCTCCAGTAGGCCCGCACAGGGGTCGGGCCCCGCTTCCTCCTCGGGGTCCCTCCCTGGGCTGAGCTTCAGGGGAGCCTACACATCTCCTGCTTACACACCCCCTTCTAGAAGGGACAACCCAAGAGCGAGGAGGTTGGAGGCTTCAGGCTTGCAGGCACGGATGGCGCTGGTTCTTGAGTCTCCTCCAAAACCTCTGCCCCCAGGCACTGTGACTGTGCTTTCTTAGAGTCCCTTCCTGGGTGCTCTCACGACAGGCCCCGAAAGTCTCCGGAAAGTGCCCCATTTCCAACCCTCCAGACATCTCCACACGGTTGCTTATGTCAACTTTGTAAAGTAAAAATGTGCCTTTATCACCCCCTTGAATACCACAGTCCCTTAGTGTAACTTACAAGGGCTCTGGTGTCCAACACTCACATGCGTATGCACACACACACACGCACACTCATATGCACACACACACACAGTCTGCAGATAAAGCCCGGGCCTCCTCTAGGACAGTCGAGCCCTCCAGGGCCTGGCTCTGCTGCCTTTCCAGGTGTGTTTCTCTTCATTCCTAATCTATGACGTCTGACCTCACAGAGTCCCACAGCCATGCCTCGCCACGTGTGGTTCCATTTCTAGGAAAGTCCCGGAAAACCCAGCAAGCTCTTAGTCACCCCCCAAAACCGTACTTGCTGCTCTCACGTCCCGGCTCCGTAACCACCACGTGAGCGCCGGCCCCATCGCTGGTCACTCTGCACGCAACCCCGCACGTCCGCAGCACGCGGACCACAGACGCCCTTGCTTCCTAGTTTACTTCTAAAATCTGCTTCCCTACTAGCACATGAACTCTGCAGGAAGGGCTCTCTTTCCTCGTCTCCCACGGGAGCCCCAGCAGCAGGACCACTGGTGCACGGCGAAGGCCCAGAGCACAGAATTAATGGTTGGATGAATGCACGCGTGCACGCACAAATGTTTTTTGAAGGGAACTCGAGCTGCACCAGTGGAAGGAGGGATGCTTATTTTACGAAACACTGATGCTAAGTGCCCATGGCCTTGTACCTCCCTCTACCCTTCTCGGGCTGACCTGTGCTGCACTTGGAGTGGCCCAGCGAGCTGGCGGGGCAGGTGGTCGGCCGCTTGGCCTCATCCTCCTGGCTGTATGACGTGCCCCAGGGGTATGACTCCCTGCCTCACTGACTTGGCTCGCTACAAACACTTAACCGTTCCACTCATCTGTCTGTTCTATTTCCTGTAAGACACTAGCCCACAGACAGAGGAGAAAATGACAAAATGCACAATCGTGCTTTTGAACAAGGCCCATTTTAAAGAGAGGGTCCTGCTTTCTGCATTAGTGAGCACATACACTCAGCAGCTGGGCCGTTTGGCAAGGCTGCAGGGACAGGGATGGGGAAGAACGAAGCAGAGGAGCAGGGTCAGGGACAGAGCACAGACAGCCTAGGCCCGGCAGAGGTGCTCCCAGGTGGGGTGAGCGGGTCTGGGAGCCAGAGGGGCCCCTTTCCCTGCCACCCTGCTCCTGCCTCTCCCCTCCTCCCTCCACCAACCAGGGAGTCCACCTGCTGACGTCCCTCTGGCTCCCACTCCACCTGGCGACCTCTGCTCAGGCCTACGTACCCTGTAAACCTGGGTGGTCTTCCCTGGCCCGGCTTCCCTCCAGGGTCCACCATCTGCAGCTCGGTGACCCTTCTCTGGTGACAGCAGGGTAACCAGCTAGGGGGTGCAGGGAGCTTAGAATCTGGTTTAGGTCCTGGCCCTGCTCCTCTCTCATGACAGCTGGTCAAGGGACCCCAATCCCAAGACTTGCTTTCCTGTGCTGTAAGTGGGGGTGGTGCTGAGCACCCGCAGAGCTGGGTGAGGACCTGGTGAGGACCAGGTGAGGACCAGGTGAGGCAGAGAGCTATCTATGGGTCCCAGGGAGGATTACAGGTGAGCTGTGGTGCTCGTGCCATGTCCAAGGTACCAGACCATGTGGTTAAAAGTGCCCCAGCCCACGCTTTGGCAAGATTTATGACAGGCTGAGGAATTCACTGATTCTCCTGCCACATACTTCATTAAGATTTGTTTTAATTCTAGAAACCCAGCAGGAAACAGGAAGTGGGAGCAGTATTCTGTTGACAAACATCAGAGGTTCTGGGATTCCCAGTACTGGATGCAAAGTGGACGCTCAGCTATAGCCGTGGGCAAAAAGGGGAGAGAAAGGGACACACCCAAGCCCCCAGACTCCATACAATGGGTTAAAAGAACCCAATTAAGGGCCCAAAGTGGCCATCACATTTCAGAGTAAGGCAGGACACAAACCCCGGGTTCCAGATGCATGATAAATGCAGAGCTTACAAGCAGACTTTATTTTATTTTGCGTATACTTGCTATATTTGCCAGATTTTCTACAATCAGAGAAGAAAAAAAAGCCTCTATTTAAATGTACAGAAAACTCTGTAATTCTACCCCCCTACCTACAAATACGTATGGAGATCTACGTCCCCACTGCGAGCAAAGTGCCTGGCACACAGCAGATGCTCAATGTATGTGATCAATGACCGGTTGCATGGACGAGGGATGGTGACTCCAGCGTCCAATATGGTTTCTGAGTCAGGGTCCTCCCTCCTAAGGCAGTTCAAGGCGCTGTCTTGATAAATGGTACAGACCCGTGAGGGGGACCTGGGGATACCCGACTCCTGAGGTTGCCCCCCATGACACCAGGACCTTGGCTGCAGAGGGCCCCCCGGTACTCACATCGATGGGCACGCTGTCGTAAAGGCGCTTGCCGATCACCGTCTTCCCCTGGATGTCGATGTTCTCCCTCTCCTCGATGGGCAGCGTCTGCACCAGCGCACAGTCAGCGTACAAGGAAACGTTCTGGGCCTGGATGCTCAGGGCGATCTTGTGCCAGTCCCGGTCAAAGAGGTCACTGACCCGGGGGCCTCGGAAGATCACCCTGACAGCATCCTTCACGGCACCCACGGCATCATACTCGACTGCCTTGTTCTCGCCGTCCAGCCGGATGGAGACCTGGAGAGCAAAGGACCACAGGCTCCCTGAGCTGCATGGGACCAAGGCGGGAGAACGCAAGAGGGGAGAGGGTTGCGGAATCAGGAGTCACATCCTGGCCATGACCCTCACCGCTGGTCAACCTTGGATAAAGCCTCGGTTCCCTCCTCAGCCTTGGTGTTCACAATACTACCCTGCAGGCTGTTCTGAGCACCTGTACTAGATGGAATGATCGGGCTCAGACACCAATCCAGGGGCCACACACAACCCCATGCCTGGGGGTCTATGAAGTAGGGGCACTTTTGTGAGTCTGCAAGACAAATGGTGCAGAAGGGCTTGAGTCTCAAGCCCAACGAGAAACCGCAACTGGTCTCCATGTCATTGAAAACCCTGGCCCGGCAAAACAGGCCATGTCTGACCAGATGCCAGGGACCAGGCTGAGACCCCGTCCCAGGCTGCACTGTCTCCAACCGTGAGGACGACCTTGAAGCTCCAGTAGGATAAAGCTCCTTGGCGGCAGGGACTAATGGGTCTTGTTCACTGGAGGACCCCCTGCCCTTTGCAAAATGCCTACGCAACCCTGGAAGAAAGTTTTACTTTTGTTTTTCTTGGAATGAAAGAATGCTTGGGGGCTCCTGGGTGTCTCAGTCGTTAGGCGTCTGCCTTCGGCTCGGGTCATGGTTCCAGGGTCCTGGGATCGAGCCCCGCATCAGGCTCTCCAATTGGCAGGAAGCCTGCTTCTCCCTCTCCCACTCCCCCTGCTTGTGTTCCCTCTCTCGCTGTGTCTCTCTCTGTCAAATAAATAAATAAATAAATGAATAATAAATAAAAGAATGATTGGACACTTTCTCATCCAGGTGCTCATTTCTACCTCCTTTACATGGTACTCACTAAACACCTTCTATTCCCTGCCCAGCTCCCTGCCTCGAGTCTGGATGCTCGAGGGCTCTGCCTTGGCTCTGCCTGGGCTTTAAGGGCTCTGCCTGGGTTCCTGTGTCCTTCGGCACCTCATCAGCATGGCCCATGGGAAGGCCACGGAATGGAGACCGTAGGCAGGAGGACAGGGTCCTAGGGCTGATTCTCCCTACCCCTCCCTGCTTCTCTGCGGTTCTAGGTGGCTGTGTCCCCCCACACACTCTGGCCCTTTGGGGACTCTCTGTCCTTCCTGGCTCCAGAACTCATGGTCTCCAGTAACCACCAACCACCTCCTGTCCCGGCCACCCAGGCCTCAGGTGGTAGTAGCTTCTTCTTGTCGCTTAGCCCAAGATACCTCGATACGCTTTGCTGGGTTCCTTAACCCTGACGCTTAACCTTATCAGCAACCTTAACTCTGGCCACTTTCTTAAAACACTCTTCAAAAACTGGGGCTGTCTTAAAAAAAAAAAAGAAGAAGTGATAGCAGGAGGGGAAGAATGAAGGGGGGAAATCGGAGGGGGAGACGAACCATGAGAGACAAT